TCCTTTTTTCCTCTCGGTCTTTCAGAACTGCCAAGATAACTCTGTCAGGGTTGTCCGCCGCCTTGAAAACAATAAGACAATTGACAAACGCTATTGTGGCAAAACATTGCCCCCAACCATCATCTCGTACGACGAGCTGACTCTTGTATTTGACATGGGCAGCTCTGGGCAGCCAACGCACTTTCGAGCCAACTACCGCTATGAAGACAATGAGTGTGCAACGAATAATGGCGACTGCGAGTACAGGTGTTATAAAACACCTGGCACATACCACTGCAAGTGCAAAAAAGGCTTTGAGCTGTATGAAAAGTCCAAATGCAGACAACGTAAGTGATTATGTGGTTGGATTACCTCCAGGCAGAATGCTTTTTTGCTGAGGTTATTTAAAGGGCAATGTCTGTGATGTTCTTGCACTCTCGGTGGGAATTTTTCTGTTTCAGGAACAGCGGCCTTCACTAGCGCTTAGCGTTTAAATGAACGGACTGCCTGCCCTGCTCCTGTTTTGGCACTTGGTAGGACGCATGGGGGGAGGGGAACCTGCACAAATTTTTATAGTCACATTTGCTTTTTGTTTGAATTCCCCCTCCCCTTTAATGGAAAAACTAGGTACGGCACATCCTTGACAATTCTTGACTGGTCAGCATTTCACTCTCATGTCCCCAAAAGGTGGCTTCGCTAAATGCCTACCGGAATCATGCATATTCACCTGCCTATCCGAATTAAAGCTGTTCCATTGTTTCCTTATTGTCACCCAATATGCACGCAAGCTTTCGAACACCCTCTGGTAACCCTGCGGGTTTTCCTATACAAAAAACTTACTAATTGTACCCGAGTAGGCGTTATTTCTTTTGCTGCTGAAGGAGCGCTAGGGGTGAAGTCGCGGGTGGATCTGGGATTTTCCTTTTGTTCCTGCTTGCAGTAACCAGTAGGGCATTTTACTAAGCGTCTGTTGTTCTGAAAGCATGTTCATTTGCACATACGTAAGAGAACCGTCTACCGTCGTGTTCTCGATGTCTACGCATACGAAGCAATCGTTGGACTATAGCTGTGCTTTCCGACCCACCGTATGTTGTCGGATTCTTCGGTTTCTTACTTCTGTAAAACTTACCGCGCTTTGCTTAGAATTGAATGGCGCCTGAAGACAGCGATGAAAAACGCGTCACCGCGGCAAACTTACGTGTAGTTTCCCCGAGCTCTCCTCTCATACGCTTGGGAGGTGA